CAAAAAATTAAAAAACAGCAAAGTTATAATTTTTTTCAATTGTTTTTCCGATTGTTCCTATGGGAGCTATATGCTATAGTCGTCCGATTTTGATGAAATTTAAACCATAATTCTGAAATATTTAACCATAGCTATATGTCGAAGAACTAAAAAAAAAATTAAAAAACAGCAAAGTTATAATTTTTTTCAATTATTTTTGCTATTGTTCCTATGGGAGCTATATGCTATAGTCGTCCGATTTTGATGAAATTTTAACCATAATTCTGAAATATTTAACCATTGCTTTATGTCGAAGGACAAAACAAAAAATTAAAAAACAGCAAAGTTATATTTTTTTTCAATTGTTTTTCCGATTGTTCCTATGGGAGCTATATGCTATAGTCGTCCGATTTTGATGAAATTTAAACCATAATTCTGAATTATTTAACCATTGCTATATGTCGAAGAACTAAACAAAAAATTAAAAAACAACAAAGTTATAATTTTTTTTCAATTATTTTTCCGATTGTTCCTATGGGAGCTATATGCTATAGTCGTCCGATTTTGATGTAATTTAAACCATAATTCTGAATTATTTAACCATTGCTATATGTCGAAGAACTAAACAAAAAATTAAAAAACAGCAAAGTTATAATTTTTTTTCAATTATTTTTCCGATTGTTCCTATGGGAGCTATATGCTATAGTCGTCCGATCCGGCTCGTTCCGACTTATATACTACCTGCAATAGAAAGACAACTTTTGGGAAAGTTTCATGCAGATAGCTTTAAAACTGAGAGACTAGTTTGCATATAAACGGACGGACAGACGGACAGACTGACAGACGGACAGACGGACGGACAGACGGACAGACGGACGGACAGACTGACATGGCTAGATCGACTCTACTAGTGATGCTGATCAAGAATATATATACTTTATAGGGTCGGAAACGTCTCCTTCACTGCGTTGCAAACTTCTGACTGAATTTATAATACCCTCTGCAAGGGTATAACAACAACGAAGACCCTCAAAGAGACGACAACTGAAGGAAGGCCAGCAGGATCAACAACAGGAGCGGCAACAGAGACAAGGACAACGGACGGCAGCAGCAACAACGACCATCAGCAACAACAGCCGCAACAACAAGCGCATCAGCAACAACAGCATCAACGGCGACAACGGCAGTGACGACAACAAAGACACTAGCTAAGTTAATCTTAAAATTTAATAAGTTACGAGCATTTTAATATTAAGAAAAGATAAATCCGTTCAAACGCTCTTGAGTTTTAGCAAAACTAACGAACAGCAATTTATTTTTATATATATACATATACAAAACTAAAGCCAAAACCATGTTGTCCGCTGAAACTATTGCCTTAATAAAAAGGCAAGTAGAAATTACAAAACTAATTCATACCCTTAAAGAGCTACCTAGTCTATCATTTGAATATTTGAAACAGTATGAGGAATTAAGGTCCGAATGTGTTCAAAATCATTCGGTTTTGGTTCAAATTGGAGTAGTCGATCATGACTACTTCAAGAAGAACCATTATGAGAAAATGATGTTAGATCTCTCAAATATAAAAGATAGGATAAATAGGGTTTTAAACAAAGCTGACGAAGTTGACTTAGAGGCCAGTAGTTCTAAAGTTGTCAATAAATTAGATAGGGCAATAGTACAGGTACGGGAATACTTAAAAGAAACTTTTGAAGACATTAAGCTAGACAATGTTTCAAAAGGAAAATTTTTTCCGATCAATTAAACCGCCTTCTGGATCTTCAAATCGTAAATGTTGATTCAGTTACGCAACTAAAAATATTTATTGACACGACTAACGAGTCAATACGTATGATAAAATTGAAGGCACAACTTTCTGATGAAGTGGATATTATGTTTGCACACATAATAATTAGGAAGTTTAACAAAGAAGCTCTTCAACTATATGAGAGCCATGTTAAAAAAACTAAAGAGATTCAAGCGTTATCGGACGTCATTGAATTTTTAGAGCAACGGCTAAGTTCGATAAGCTCAGTTCAGGATGAAAAGCCTGTAAAAAAAATTTATAGTAGCAATATAAAAGAATTAGCTACTAATAATTGTTCCATATGTAAAATTTCGGGACATTTTATATTCCAGTGTCAGAAATTTAAGGCTTTAAGTCCATCAGAAAGGATGGGAAAAGTAAAAAATGCCCATTTGTGTTTCAAATGTCTGAAACACTCATTTGATAAAAAATGTTAAAGCGACATTTCATGTTCTATTTGCAAGAAAAATCACCACAGCATGCTACATATAAATAAATTATAAATTATAACGTTAACCAAAAATTAGAAAAGGTTAACACTTGCAGGACATCCAAACAGGCGTTGCTTGCTACAGCACACGTTCAAATAAAATGCTCGAATGGAGGGTTTGAAAATTTCAGAGCTTTGAATGACAGTGGTTCTCAAAGCACCATAATTTCTGAAGAATGTGTGCAGATTCTAAAATTACAAAAAATTCGATCTCAAACAGAGATCAGTGGAGTATCCTCCACAGGAAAGTGCATATCGAAGCACAAAATTCATCTTTCAATTAAATGTAATGCTTCCCAAAAAATTTTAAAAGTTGAAGCATTAGTACTCCCAAAACTTATGAGGGCTCTCCCAGCCCACAAAGTTAATGTTGACAAAACGAAATGGGAAAAATATAATTTGGCCGACCCCGACTTTAATAAGCCGGGGCGTGTAGATCTAATTATTGGAGCAGATCTATATACTGACATTCTACAGAGTGGAGTGGTCAAAATAAATGGCCTCCTCGGCCAAAAAACCGATTTCGGGTGGATTATCTCTGGATGTAAAAAATCAAAGGGACAGAAGACAATTGTAGCAACCACCATAGAATTAAAAGATATGGATCGGTTTTGGGAAGTAGAGGATGAAGATAAAAATGATATCGAATCTGAGATATGTGAAAATAATTTCACAAAAACTACAAAGATAGATTCAGATAGGCGATACATTGGGTCAATTCTATTTAAAGATGATGTCACCTTAGGGGATTCAAAGAAACAAGTGATAGCTCGTTTCATGAATCTGGAGATAGTATGCTAATGGGAACGAATGGCCTACAGGAGAATTAGTTTGAGAATAACATAAGGTACACCAGTCGAAATCCTGTCATATCGTCTGCGACGAATTGAAACAGCAGCCTTGTACTATTAACAGCGTCTTCTTTAAATCGTAACGCAGTATATACACCAGTCACATTACAAGAGGTACCGTCAAATGTCAATCTTAAGCAAACATTGACATGTTTTTCTTGCTATTTTTTTATATTTCTGCCTTTATTCGTTTATATACAACAACAACAGTAATAAAAAAACCAAAAAAAACCCGTTTACCGCCGTGGGATTTGAACTCATGCTTCCAGATTTCTGGCCAAGCACCTAACGCCCTAGGCTGTTTAGTTGGAGGCGCGCCCGATATCAAGTATCAAGCTTCGAAAATCAAGCGATTGTTGTTGTCGAAGTGATCCTGGTTTCAGCCAATTAATCCTATTTGTTGTTAAATTATATTTTTAAAACCACGTAGTGACCCTGTAACACTAATTTAAGGTCAAGTTGATCCCAAAAAACTGATACTACGTGTAGTGTGAAAACTAACTACCACTACTTATGAACGCTTAGTAACTTTGTATAAAAATGTATATTATTTAACTCAATTCAACTTAAATTCAACTTAAATTCTATATTTTTTTTTGTTTTTCTTTTCTTTGTGTGATTTGTATAGTGAAAAAAATCTTCTAAAATAAATGCATCAACTATTAAAATATTTACCCCATCTTGTGCATTGTAAGATTATGTCAGGTACTGTTTGTTTCTACAATCTTTTTATATTGATTCCATATAATTTAATTTAACTTTTAATGTTGGCTTCAATGAGGATTAACATCACGCAATTTACTTGCCAAGATGTACATCCAACTTTGGCCTGCATAAGCCCCATCGTGTTCTTTGTAATAATTATAACAATCTTAGTAATCAAATATATTCAATTCTAAAAGGGCCGCGCGTAGCTAGCTCAAGCTTGGTTTTACTTATGCATCAGCACTCCACGATAATCGCAAATTAAACATAACTGATTTGTATACTTGTCTTACGTTACTCATATTTTATAATTTTTGTAAATTGGTAATTTTGGTCAGGAACAATGACGTAACTTTCGATTGACGATTGTGACATTTGGAGATTGTACTGCGAAGACTTGCCGGCACCAAGTGTGCCGCCCATCAAGCAAAAATGTTGGCCTAGAGTCATTCAGAACTAACAAATTGTCAAATTTCCGTTCAAAATGTTTTAAATCAGATTAAAATTTAGAAATACGTAAATTACAATTTACATAATTTAATGTCATAATGAAACGAAATTTTAAAAAAAGACATTTATTTAAAAAGGTTTTTCATGCACTAGCGAAAGGAATATCCCCAAAGCTAAAAGCCCATATTGACTTCGAGGCACTACAATACATATATTGTTTTAAAAGAAAAGCAGTAAGCTTCAGCAAGCTTATATGCTTTTGCAGCTAATACAAATTTAAAATATTCTATAAATCGACTATATTTCGATTTTTGTGCGTACTTTTCAAAAACAATATAGCCTATTTTCCCGATGATTTTTTCTCCCGTTCCTATGTCAACTGTATGATATTTTAATTCTTAAATCTTAAACCATTACATTTTAAAAGCAACAAACATTTTGACTGATATATTAACTGCAATAGAAAAATGTCTTTTGGAAAAGTTTTATCCAGAAAGAATCGGACAGACAGACCTGCAGACCTACATTGTTAGGTGATGCTGATAAAAAGTACATATTTTTACTTTATAATGTCGAAATTGTCTTTTAACTGCATTCCAAACTTTTGACTGAAACTATAATTCCTATAATTCCTGTAAGTAGCCTCAGCCATGTTAGAGCATAAATAAAATCTGAACTATGTCCAAAAAGGATGCTTAAAAATATCGCTTTTCTTTAGTTTCAGGTGAACCATTTTGTGATGCTGAAGTCAACCGAATTAAGAACTATGATGATACGATATGGAATTTTTAATAAATTTAATAAATTGTGTGTTTTTCTGCGTCGCAACATTCAAGTTGGTAAATAAAATTCATTCTTTATATTATTTTTTACACGCGTTTGTTTATTATTGCAAATTGATTGTGCTTTCTTTTGCTTTGTCATAGTCATTTTAAACAAAATTTTAGTGATTGAATTACTATCTTTTCTGAAAAACTTAAATTTTTGTTTAGTCATCGGCGAGAATCGAATCCGTGCCAACGGACCGGGAGTTTGACCGAGGTACCTTCAAATGTCAAACTAAAATAAACATAGACATGTTTTCTTTGCCTTGTTTTTATATTTCTGCCTTGATTCTAAGAAATCGTTCATTCTTATACAAAATAAAATATAGAAAAAACACGTTTAACGCCGTGGGATTTGTACTCAAATTTCTAGATTTCTGACCAAGCGCCTAAGCCTAAAGATATCATTTCGAGCTTTGAAAATCGAAACCACAAATTTTTGGAGCCGAAGTGACCCTGATTTCAGCCAATTGATCCTAATTTGTGTCAAATTATATTTTTAAAACCCTTAAACACTCATATAGGGTCAAAAACTGATACTACGTCAATTCGAACCTCACTATCGGGACCGGCAAGGTCAGAACTAGGTTCTGACTCTTCGCCCAGCCACCTTTATCGCAGACTCCACGCAAGGACTCCTTGAGCTCGATTAAACCACGACCTGGTACCCGTTGGATCTCAGCGATTTAGCTTCAGCCTTTAGCATGTCGACTTTGCGATCTTGACTCTGACACTTGATTTACTTGCTTTTGGTCTCACGTACACACACTCGCTCTGATTCTCGAACTACTACTTCGGCGTGAGCTGCGTTAGCGCCGGCCTTTTATAGCCTGTGATGGTACCGTTACCCTCTAATCCGGCTCAGGTGGTCGGGTTCAAGGCTACCGCCGTACCGTTAGTTCACAATACGTTTTCTTTGTGCGGGTCTGAAGTCCGCCTATTTACAGTTTGATGTTGTTGCCCTGACCGTGCAAAGGTCCAATGTCCAGCTCGATACCTTTTTTTCACGGTGTCTCCGTTTCGATCGGGTGCCAAGGTCCGTTGTTTACAGTTTAACCTGATTGCCCTTGATTCCTCCGGAATCCCCTCAAAATAGCAAGCTTACTTAGCGAGCAAATTATAACAAATCAGGTCGTTGCAATCTTTAAAGGTACACTTAGCAAAAGATAGTAGCAGAAAAACGAAGGAAACTACCCACTTTTTCACAAACTTATCTGCTAAATTTAATGTATCCCAGCCAGTAACGCTTCTTAGCGCTTATTTCAGAAGAAATGTAATGAAATTATGGTTTTAAACTCCTTCTCTCAGGAACCTATGAACGAAACACAGTATAAATGAAATACTTTAACCAACATTTTCAATTTTTTAGTCGCCCTCTTTAACTCGTTTCAAGCAAGTTCACAAATTACTATGAATATTTTTAAACACAATTAAAAATTAATTGTTTGTTAATTCTAGTGCACTCTATAACGTAGCTAAAATTAAAATAATCTCGATTTGCTCGAGATGATTACGAGTTCATCAAGGACCATTTCTTGAACTTCAGAAAGAAGCTTAATACTATCCAAGAGATTGATTATTTTTTAATTTTTTTCAGATGTCAACCGAGTGAGCTGAGTTGAATCTCTGGATCTCTGGTCTGCAGTTAACAACCTATTAGTTTGGTTGGGTTTTTTAAGCGATGGACGATGAAATATGATATACCTTATATAACTACATTTTTATCTACTCCCTTTTCCGTTCTATTTTGTAAATTTGCTCTCCAGTTTGGAATTTCGAATATCAAGTACACGTTGACCGTATACAGTATATTTAAAATAAATGTCTTGGATTTGCACTTCGTATATTGATCTGGAATAAAAAGATAAAGTTGCCATTAAGCAGGGATTAAAATCGAAAAAAATATCGGTTTCGGTTACTGTTACTATTACAACCAATATAACTATTTTAATTACGTTTTCGTTTTTGGTAAACAAATTTTTTATTTCGGTTACGGTACCGCAACTAAAACAAATTGCGGGGACTTATTAAAAAAAAAATAATATTTCTAAAATTTCACACAAACTTATAATTGTTTGTTCCGCGGTATAGCTAAGCATTCGAAAATCGGATGTTTGACGCCTGTTTTAATAATGTAGCCCAAGCAACTGGAATCACGAAATTCATTTTGCTGGAAAACATTCTCAATACATTACCGCACTAAAAAAAGTCTCCGGCTCGAAACAATCTAAAGTGTGTTGTAATTTCGGCTTAAAGAGGGTTTATATAATTAATTTCATTGGAATTTTAACATCATTAAAAGCTACTATTTTTTTCCATCTTTAAAAGACATCTTTAAAAAGACATGGTCATCAAATCGACACCTATTGTAGTGAACGATTGATATTTTCAACATTATTCAATATGCGCTTGTGCGTTTCAATATGCCCTTTATGTCAAATGCTTGGGTTTATTTTAGGGTCAATTTGACACCATTAAGATTTAATATGTTATTGACTTGTGGAATCTTTTTAAATAGTAATAAACTTTATTATCAATACGTTACCATATACGTTTACTAATAGCTAACACCTGCATTGTTCCAGCGCTAATTTATTGAGTAGAAGTTTTTTCAAACTGTGACACTATCAGTAAAAACAAAATTAATGTTCTATTTATTTGCATAGCCAGGTATATATTCAACCTACCACATAGTTTCACGTATCCGAATTTTCGCAGAACATACTCGATATCTCACTAAATGAATGGATAAAGATGCGAATCTTAATTTTCCAAAAAGAACCTTCGTATCTTTTCGAAAAACTTCAGTTTAAATCCTCTAGAAGAGCAAACAATCTTACTTGCATAAAACCTAGATCACTGACATCCGAAAGACAATTTTAAATTAATGCAATTCGATCATGGAATCAACTCCCCAACCGCCTTAAAAATATTAGCAGTGCCACGCAATTCAAGATAAAATTATTCTCACACCTTAAAAATACTATAACGTAAATTAAAGTGAAAATAGAAGACGACTTAGGTTAGTTTTTATGAAAATTAGTTTTAAGTATAATGTAACAATTAAATATTTGCAAACTCGTAGTGACTAGCGCATTAACTTATAAGTTCCAAACTTGTAGCGTTAGGATGAAAATTTATGTTCTTGAAGAAGCTTTCGTTTTTCTGTTTCCACCGCGATCGCCGAGTGCTTTTTTTTTATTATTCACAGCTGCCGCCAGATCAGCCTATTGCTATACGAGTTGACGACCCCAGCATCAGCACTACATTTTCGTGCTTCCGCAAAATATTCTGAAAAATTCAAGCGGTTAAATCGGACAACGACTGGAAATAAAATATCTTCGTTGTTTTTCTTTACTCCATTTCCAATATTCAATTCTTTCTGTGCATTCAAAGTCACAAAATACACACATACGTAAATTTGGCCATAATTGGCATAAATTAAAAATTAAAATTCAAAAAGTGAAAAAAATGTAATCAGCAGTGTAGTGTGCAAAATATAGGCCTAGCGAGCAGTGAATATTAATTCCTATATTTTATCCCAGTATTCCATCAAATTGGACAACTTTATTTTCATGGCTTTAATATTTTGCATATTTTATCCCACATACAGTCCACAAATCAAAAACAAAATGTAACATTCAAAATAAATTTTCCGGCACTCCTGGGCTGGAACAAATATACATATGTCGGAGAGTATGTAGTGCAGCATCTCGACACGTATGACCATGGGTTGTGCTGGTATACTAGATATACTAGATACTAGTTTTGGTAGAATGGGGACTCAGCTTGCGAGCTGATGCCGAGTGTGGCTTCGTATGCGTTGCTAGGTCTGGTCTCTCTTTTTATTTTTCTGGTTGGTAGCGTGACGTGAGATAGACACGTGCTTGATCCTTAAGAGAGAATTATGAGCAACAAAGGCATCGAAGACTCGCTGCATTTGCCAGAATTACAGAATTAATTAATCCCCTTACAAGGGGATGACTTTAATTCTCCGACACATACATACACACATATCTACATATTTTGTACATCCTGCATCGAAAATATTCCAACACATTAAAAGTTTTCCGTCGGTGATCCAGATAAATATATAACGGAGAAGGAGTGTTTTCATGGTCTGCCATTTCGATTGCGCAGTAAGTCCCGATCGCGCCAAGAGCCCAATTCAAACTGCCCACCCTTCAAATACCAGAGCTCATCTTCTTGCAACTTCTTGCTCTCCGGTTCTCTCTCTCTCTCTCTTGGGCGACCGGGCCTCACTCGACGACTACGCCACTCTAAAAGAGATCTGGCAATGCCGTCGCGCTACGAGTAGAGCAGGAATTCCTAGAATCCATGTTTTACCAGGAACCAGCGGCTTATGCCAAGCGACAACCAAATCGGAGCGCCAAATAACTTTAGCGTTCATCGAATTCAAATATTTCTGAGAACTGCGACACGGCCTTCCTGACCTGCACACGTCCTCGTGTATGCGTGGTCATGACCCATTAAGCTTTACAACAAGCAGTATTCCTTTCAATTATTTATTGACATTAGCTTCTAATCCAAATCATTCAATTATTTCATAAACATACAACCAATAACAGCGTTTCTTGTTATATCTCAACAATATTCATTTTCACAATTTCTCTTTATTTCCAATTGGACACCAACTCGTCCTCCTGACTCCCGCCACGTATCCACACAGGATCATGGTGCAGTCGTATACACATATACTCCCGCCACGCATTCACACAGAATCGTGGTGCAGTCTCACACAATTGTTCTTGCCAAGCATCCTCGTAGGATTTACACATACGCTCCCGCCAAGCATCCCCATAGGATCATGGTGCAGCCGTATACACATACATATGCTCCCGCCACGCATTCACACAGAATCGTGGTGCAGCCGTATACACATACATATGCTCCCGCCACGCATTCACACAGAATCGTGGTGCAGCCGTATACACATTTGACATTCGGAGCTAATTATTTTCATCAATCGAACGATCAAATTCTTCATCTATTTCTGCAAGTATTTGCGTATCAGGTAGAGACCGTAAATGTTCGTGTGCATATTTATACTGCCGTTTACTAGTTAACGACTTTAGTTTATATCTGTCTCCCTCCAAAACTTCAATAATTTCAAATGGCCCCTTAAATTTAGGATCTAGCTTCGTTTGATTTCTCTCTTCATTTTTAATCAAAACATAGTCACCAACCTGGTGCTTTACAATCTTTGCTTTGTTTTTATCAAATCTCTTTTTATCGTAATTGGCGTTCCGATCAATGTTTTCTTTGGCTTGCGCTCTAATTTTGTCCCTATCTATTACCTCCTCTTCTTCTGTAATAGGCAACAAACCGAATGGCCTTCCTTCCCTGCCAATCATTAATTCCAAAGGACTTACTTTGGTGACACGGTTAATCGTACTATTAATAGCTAACTGAACTTCTAATAGCGCATCTTGCCAGGAGCGCTGGCTTGTTTCGACTGCTGTAAGCATACTTTTAAGCGTACTCATTACGCGTTCAACTTGCCCGTTAGATCGGCTGGCGCCGGTGGCAATCAAATGTAGGTTAATTTTCTGGGAAGAGCAAAACTCGCGGAATCCGGAACTGGCAAAAGATCTACCCTGATCGGCAATCACACGCATTGGCAAACCAAACAACGAGACAACAGATTTCATTGCTCTCACACAGTTTTCCGTATCTAAACTCAAAGTGTGATACAAATATACGAACTTAGTAAAGGCGTCTATAATAACAATGACATACTCTTTTTGGTCATTCTTGCCACTCAATTTCCCTGTAATATCGATATGCAGAGTATGCCAAGGTATATCTATTTTTGGAATCGGATGGAGTTCTGCCTGCACTTTACCTTTAGAGCCTTTTGATATTTTGCATGTAATGCAATTTTCTACGAAACGCCTAACATATTTTGACATGTGGGCAAACCAATAGTGCGCATAAACTTTATCTAATGTCTTCTCCCAACCCAAGTGCATTACAGCTTCGTGTACGTGGTTTATTACAGCCCATCTGTAAGCTCTGGGTATTACGGGCAGACAGCGTGTTCTTCCGTTGCGTTGGATTTTTCGATGAAGCATACCTTTTCTCAACTCATAAGTTTTTAGTAAATATTCCTCTAATTCGTCGTTACGTAGCTTTTCGATTATTTCAGAAACTTCTGGATCGCGCTGTTGTTCGGCGAGTAGCCAGTTGTCGGAGACCTCGGTTAAATTTATGCGCTTCTCGACTACCTTTTCTAATTGGGAGTCTTTTTGGACGGGTAGAGGATTCCGAGACAGAAAATCAGCATGAGCCATTCTCTCCCCTTTCCTATATTCAATGCGAAACTGAAAAGCCTGTAAGTACCCCCACCACCGGTGTACCCTCGGCGTCAATGTGGTCTTGGAACGACTAGCCCTTAATGAATCGCAATCCGTAAAAATCACAAATTCGAGACCCTGCAAATAATGCCTGAAATGTTTAACGGCGTTCACCACTGCGAGAGTTTCTAACTCGTAAGAATGGTATTTGGACTCGACTGGAGTTGTGCATTTACTAAAATACTCGATTACATAAGGCTTTTTATCTATTCGGTGCATCAAAATGGCACCATAACCAACCATACTTGCATCTGTATGCAACTCGACAGGGTGTTTGGGATCGAAGATGGTCAATACTGGAGAACTTGTCAAAATTTCTATTATTTTCTGTCTAAGTTGTTCATGTTCGTCTTTCCATGTAAGTTCCTTGCATTTTTGAGAAGTTAGTAGAAATAATGGTTTTAATAACTCTGAAAATTTTGGCACAAACTGCCGGAAGTAGGAAGCCAATCCTATGAAT